TGATACAGTTTGGTATCGTCCGCATATTGATGATATTTAATCCCGTGCCGGCATATGATCTCACCCAGTGGCTTCATGTAGATATTAAATAGGAGGGGTGACAGAACCGAGCCCTGCGGCACCCCATATTTGAGGGGCCTAGGGGTCGACCTCTGTCCTCCTACCAACACCGACTGCGACCTGTCCGAGAGGTAGGAGGAGAACCACCGTAAAACGGTGCCTCCCACTCCAACCTCCCATAACCATCGCAGAAGGATACCATCTGATCTGATCTGGTTCAACACAACAACAAAAAAAAAATTTGATTTGACTTTGGTACCATATTTTTCGGTATATTCAGAGTATAAGACACAACTTTTCCTCTAAAAAAGAGGGTGTGTCTTATACACTGAATACAACATTTTTGGCCTCCTGAAACACTTCCCCTTCATAAAAATGGATGTGCAAAGGGTTTGGGAGGCCTGCAAAGTGTTCCTGGAGAGTGGGGAGAGCAAAAGGGGGCATTTTTTGCTTATTCCCCCCCCCCAAACCCCTAAGAGCACTCTACAAGCCTCCTAAAGGCTATGCATGGCCCCTTTTTTGGCAAAAAATGGATCGTTTTTGCTCATCTCCCCAAGAACTTTGCAGGCCTGTCAAACTCTGCATGCCCCATTTTTCACAAAAAATGAGATGTGCAGAGGTTTTGGGAGGTCTGCAGAGTGCAATTTTTTTAAAAAAAATTTACCTCTTCAAAATCTTGGTGCTTCTTATACTCCGGTGCATCTTATTCTCCGAAAAGTATGTTAGATATTTTTTCAGATATATTCAGAAAATTTAAGCAAACTCACTAACTTGTTTTATAAATGTGATTTGGTATGAACATTTCATAAGCATCAAATCTCCAAACTGAATATTTGAGTAGCAAATGTGCTGTTATATAGGAAACTGATCAAGACTGGGATTCCATCTGAAAAGGAAAACTATTTCAAACTTTGTTTTCAGATGTGTTGTGATTCTTGTTGATGATGGTAATGGTACTTTGTGTCATCTCAAAGCCTCAGCCAGCAGTTCATATAGCCAGCAGTAATAATCAGTAATATGCTTTAACATGGGCAAAAGCTTTTTTCCATACATTGGTGTTACCAGGAGAAGCCTCAGAAGTGAAACGAAGCAAATCAATGCAGACAGCTTGATATTCAAAGCTGAGGAAAGCACACTGCTTTTGGAAGCATTTCAAAGGAATGCTTTGCTCAAAGTATCATCAAAGCAAAGCAACCCATTTAAACTTTGCACATCCTTAATTAACAACACATGTATATTTTACTCTGTGTACATTATGATTCCATGCTATTTATTTAAAGACAGCATTTTAATAATTTAGTGAATATACACTTGAACTTGCGTTTAAAAAGGATCAAGATGATAAGAATTTTGTTTACCTATTCCAGGAGATGGTGAAAAGGATACTCTGCAAAAAGAAAAAGGTAAGCAATTGAAAATACAAACAGTTCAAAAATCTAAAATTCCTGCATTGGTAAGAATAGATATGAAATAGTCTAATTTTTTTCTGCATGTTTATTTTTTGGGGGGTGGGGTAAGTAAGACTTACTTTTTTGGGGTGGGTGGGGTCTAACTTGAGAAAGTAATGATCGTATCTTTAAAAAATACTTTGGATACCATTCTAGGATTTAGGAGGAAAATGTTTCATCTATATAATCTGTATAATTACAGATATCATGTTCTCTATTGGAAATGGCACTCAGGCAAATTTTAAGACTACTCTTGTCCCTAATATATCATTTAGACTTCTTGATTTACAACCTTTTTTGTTTATTTAAGATTTAAGAAATATATCCTTTTTCACATTCTCCCCCTCCCCCCAAAATAGAAAGCCTCAAAAGACGATAATAATTTAAAAGCTTGGCCAACTAGATGCCTATTGTGCATCACACGCCATTGCTCCCTGGCATTTGCAATTTGGAAGCATGCTGTTCTCATGCTAAAAGACAAACAAAGAGACAACCCTTCAAATTTCTGAAATGATCTATCATTAAATATACATTGTTGAAGATCTCTAGTTTTCTTACTAATCTTATGCTGAATGAGTTGAGTCAGCTACACTTTCAATTTAAAATCAAATGGGTAAGAAATGAAAAGTTTTGCTTTGGCTGGCAGTATTGATACCTTTTAATTTATTATTATGACATAGTATTTGAACAGAAATATAGCAAGTAAAACGGCTACTACGACTTCCAGTGAAATAAGAAATGCTCTGTAGAGGTTGCATTCTTAAGACAGCACTTTATTGATTTTGAAATGTATTGTAAAAGTTATACCATATGCAGATATATGAATTGTATGCATTTAAAAGAACAACTGAATTGTGCAAGCATGAAACGGCCCCACCTTATTTATTTCTACATAAATTTTATATGTATATATACATATGTACATGAATGTGGGTATATGTATATATGTATGTATGTGTGTATGTATGTATGTATGTATTATGTCACAACCCTGGTATGCCCAAATATGGGAAGAAGCATACTGCTTCCTTTCTCTGTCTATC